GGGACATAAATATTTATTTAGGGAATGATAAACAATATAAAGAATATTTAAATTTTTCAAATCAATTTGGAATGAACTTGTTATGTTTTTAATTTTTGTTAAGGAAAAATTTGTGTTTAATAAAAAATTGATCAAAATGCAAGTAGTTTTGTGCTTAGGTATATTATGATATCAAAAAGCAATCGGGAGTGAAGCAATTAATCGTTCTTGCGGTATATAAATTATATTATTTGGTATTTTTATTTGCTGAAGAATTGTGTCAATTTCTGGAGTGTATCGTCGAAAAAAGACGTATAATTCGTGTTTATCGTCGTTAGGGTGTTTTGCTAGTATACTAATATGATCTTTTTCCGTGTTAGTGATATACCATATGATGTTAGAGATTTTATTTCCTAATTTGAGTTTTAAATTTATTGTACTGACGTCAATTTTAAAATGTGTTGACATTAATTTTTACGATGTTTTCTTTTTCTTAAGCTAAGTTGTACTATTTGATTAGTTTGTTTCAGTGTAATGAAAACCTCCTAGGAATCATTGAATATTAACAAAGGTTATTAATAAAAAAATAAGAATAAAAAAAAAAAATTTGGAAAAAAATCTAAAATTTTTTCTAAGTTTTTCAAGTTTTTATTCGCTGAAACCTTAACTGAAACCTGAAACTTTCTTCAAGATAAGATTAATTGATGCTTTTGGTATGGTTAAAAATATAACTATATGCCTTTTTGGGCTATTATTAGCTCACTACTTAATTTTTTTTATTAAAAATTTTTTGACTGAAACAATAATCTGAAACCTGAAACTATGGTAGCTGAAGTTGAGTTTTTTAATCTTAAAATTGTCTAGAAGCTTTAGTATACCTAGTTTATGCTTTATCTTGCAAAAAAATTCGAGAAAACCGAATCTTTTGATATCTTAAATCTAGTTTTTGAAATCTCAAACCTAAAACTCTTAAACTCTCTCAAACTCGATGCATGAAAATAAAAAGGTGGTTTTTGATAGCTGGTCTAGTGTAAAATTAGAATTTGGAACAGGTTTGCAACCTCAAAATTAAAATTTTGTATACGGAAACCTAAGTTTTTGGGGCTGAAACTATGATTTCTAGAACTGAAACTATGGTTTGAACACTTGGTTTTAGAGTTTTGAGATTAAAAATTTAGGTTGGTCTCTCTAATATATTTCTATTCCAGCAATAAAATTGCCAAAAAGATGAAAATTTTAGCCTAAAACGACGATTTTAGTTTTCTGAAACTATAAGTTTGAGGGCTCAAACTAACACCTTCTAGAAGTTTTTTGAGTTCAAAAATTTGTTAGTGCATTATTAAGGATTCCTATTATCTTTCAATATTTCACAAAAATTTCACTTGGGAAGCAAGATTTTTGGTTCTGAAACCAAAAACACCAATTTTGAAACGTACGTTTCAGCCTTAGGAACCAAAATTTAAAATTGGTTTGGTGGGTTTTAACACCGTTAGTTTTCTCTAGAAAGTCAAAATTCGGCGTTCGGAGCTCAATTTTGAGACCAAAAACTCAATTTTTGTGTTCTGAAACCTGAAACTAACAAAAACGTACCATTTAAGACCAGGTTTTTGACTTATGGTATCCAAATTTGGGTTTGACTAGTTCAACTTTTGCTGTTTTACCCGAATCTGTTTACAGAAACTTAAAATTTTGACCGGAAACTATACTTATTTTAACTGAAACGTTTGACCCTATAACTGAAACCTAGACTGAAACCAAAAATTTTGGCTGGTAAAAATCAATTTTTTAGTGCTTATGCTATCATATGAAACCTATTTTATCAATATAAAGTGGATGTGTCAGTGTTTTAAACTTAGTTTTTGTTGTGAAACCTGATATTTTTGTGCTGAAACTAAAACTTGGTGTTTGGTGTTATGTGGTTAACGTTTAAGATTGGTTTTAGTGCGTAATCTTATTGTTTATTAGGTGTATATTTAAACTGTGTTAAAAAAACTAATAGTTTATTAAAGAACACCCAAATCCGTTCCTTCCTTCGTGGTTTTTGTTATTTTCTTCCTTAGTTTCAGTAATTGGTAGTTTTACTGATGGATGATTTAAGTTTAAGTTATGTTAAGGTGGATAGAATTAAAATTAGTTTAAGAAAAAATGAGGATAAGCCTCGAGAAATGATGAAGGATTAGAATAAATAGCAACAAGCGTGGATGGTTTGAGATAATGTGATGAAGAATTCAATTTATCATACAATTTAGGGTACTCTTAGATCGCACATATGACCACTTAACCCCCTCAAAAAAATAATTGAAGTTATTTAATAAGTTTTTGAGCACTTTAGTTTAATACAGAATTTCGTTAATTTTAGTGATGATAACTTTAAACTGAAGTTTCGGCAAAAATTTAGTGGATTACTGGACAAAATGGGTATATCTTACTAGCGGACTTAGGCAGAGAACGATTCTTTCAGAAATTTTATATATTATTATAATAATAGATAATAGTTAAGTTCATGAGCTAATGTCAGTTAGAAAGCCGTCTAATAGACCTCGAGATGGAGGGATATCGTGGGCGACTGCTAGCGCAGGGGATGCTTTCGCAAGAACCCTACTAGGAATATCTGTCAAGTAGAAGACAATGAAATTGTGTTTCTATCGAAACATACCCATTGTCTCTGGCTTTTTGAGGTTGGAAACTAATCTGACAAATACTCACAGATCCTAATAATAATATATTTTTTTGGAATTTTAAAAGCTGTTTCTAGTTTGTTGGAAAAGGATTTTCTTAAGGATTAGTTCTCTGCTGCGGTCGCACCAGTTTTACTAAGCGCTCATTGCTGGTTGAATGCTTAGTAATTTTATCCTAAGTTATAAGTGTCACCTTAAATCGTCAAATTGTCTTGACAAAAAGTAGAGTAGAAACAATAGTTAGAAAAGGTATGAATTAATTAGTTGGTTAAATACAGAGCACTGGGTAATTAGATTATATAAGCGAATCGAACAGCTTAAAGAAATATACCTATGAGGGGAGGTTGAGTTAATCTTATTTTGTTCATCAATATTTTATCTTCTTACTAAGGTCGATGACTGAGTAGTATTTCTTGGGTTGCCTTGATGTTGTCCACTTGGCACTTCTGGTTTGGTTGTCAGTTTCGTCTTGCCGTAGTCCTTTGGGTACTTGTAGTCCAGACTTCCTCAGATGGGGTTATCTCGAGTATCTCGTTTTATAATTTTATCGAACTTGAAATGAGAATTTATTCTCTGTTTTATTTGTGAAAAAAGACTAGTTTAATTTTACTGTAAATGCAGAAAAGAAAAATTATTTATTTTTTGAAAAGGATTAACTGAAGATATCTAACTTGCTGCTGACTGAGCAAAATGAAACACTGAAGATTTCAGGCCAGTCCTTTTGCTCGTAAGCATAAACCGGCGGCTGATTCAATCTTTAATTATTCAGGTTTCACCTGCTCTTTTGTTCTCCCTTTCTAATAAGGGAATTTTCAACTAGTTTTTATTTGATTTTTTCAAATCAAATATCTTTAACTTATTAGTCCCCTTTGATAAAAACCGCAGCCTTCAGTTTGTCTTATTAAAAATTCATATTATTCTCTCTGATGCATCATATTGCAGGTGCACCTCTGCTTAATCAAAGCAAGGAGAATATCAGTGCAGCCGGCAAGACTGCTGAATATTTATCCAGTTTGTTTCAAGTTAAGTTAAAAGGGACGTATTAATAATCGCCGCCCTTTTAAAATATTGAGCATGAAAAAATGAGAAAAATTGGACAAGTATTTAAAAAGGAGTGGATTTTTCAAAACAAGATTTTATAGTCCTAATAAGAGTAAATCAGTCAATATCTGATTTAGTGAAAAGAGGCTTTAATTTAAATGGCACGCTCCAATTTAGAATAAACATTTAAGACAATGGTCTTTTGTCTGTGTAGTATTTCTCAATACTACATAATCGTTAAATAATCTTTAAATAATCTTTAAATAATCTTTCAAAAAATTCTTAGAACGAAAAAATACAAAAAAAAGTTATAGATTTAAAATTTTGTACTCGTGATTGCATGCTAACGGGATGAAGTTTAGAGTTTGTGTCTAAACTAGAGTTTGTGTCTAAGCTTGGCCTTTCTGAAGCTTGTAGCTTAGGAGACATTGAGGATTTTGAATTTTTCAAAAAGTTCCAAAACATTCAAAATTCAAAATTTTGTAGCCGTGCTTGAATGCGAGCGAGTTTGTAGTTTTTGTTTGTGATTCCAATGCCAAAACCTCATTTCCTGAAAGCTTGTAGCTTAGATGATATGGAAGATCTAACGATGCTTTCAAAAAAGCATTAAAAAAATCGGAAACTGATTCACTCTATGAAAAAAATTGAAATTATTCCAACTTTCATCGCTTGAATAGCTTGCTTAGAAAAAATTTAGCTATTCGCGAACCGATTCGTTTTTTGAAATGAAAAGTTTCTTTACTTGAAATGCTCACTGAAATTTTTGTTTTTGAAAACCGATTTCCTCTATGAATTAACTTTATAAATTTCAAAGTAGTTTGATCGATTGAATAGCTATCTTAGAAATGTTGTAGTTTTTTCGAACCGATTCGCTCGATGAAATAACCTGAAATATTTTGGGGTTTAATCAGTTTTTTGGATTGCTTTGAATAAATTGTTTGTGAACCGATTCTGCATTGAAATGATTGGAAAAGTTTCTGTTTCATTGTTTGAATATTTGCTGGAAAAATTATACTTTTAGTAATTTCTTTGCTCTGAGAAATAGCTTGACATATATCAAAGTTTCATCGCTTCAGTAGCTTGCTTTGAAAAACCGAAGCCTTTGCGAACCTATTCGCTCTATGGAAAAATTTGATTTCTTTCGAAGTTTCATTGCTTGAAAAACTATTGTGAACCAATTTAAGTTATTCAATTGTTCCATTTTTGAATAGCTTGTCTGAAATCATTTTAATGGAGACGCTCTTGCTAGTGTTATTTATCAAAAATCAAAAGAACGCACTAAAAAATTTATTTTGGTTTTAGCGTATCGCAGAGGATGATGTTCCAGACAGCCTTAAACAGTACCAGTACATGATGTCCAGTATAGATCAAACTATGCCTGATAGTGCAATTATTGAAGAACCCTCAGCAATCTCCATAGCTTCTGCATCATCGTCATCAACGCCAATGCAGCAAAGAGCTAGATCGATTGAAAGGGAGGTTAGACCTCAAAAAGAGACCAAAACGAACAAAAAGAGATTCAGATGCCAACTGTGCAATGCAGACTTCGCTAGTAAAGTGTTCCTGAGCAAACATTCGATCACGTGTTTTCCCGTAAATACACGTGAATGTCGTGTTTGTGGCGAGGGATTCACGACATGGAAGGCTTTGAAGGAGCATGTCGCTGCTAGCCACAAGGTACAGTTAAATTTCATTTTCAACTATACTGATCAATGAGGACGCAATAAAAATCGTTGATGTCGAATGGAGGTGTGATATGGCTCGGGAGGGGAATGAGCGATGTGTTGATAGTTAGCTTGCGTCATTACTTAGTTATGTCTATACAAAATGTGATTTTTCATTCTCAAATTCTTTGGAAACAGCATGCATTTATTTAACTGAGTTTTCCAATTTTGAAAAAATACGCCGGGACCTGTCTTTCATACGCACTTTTTTTTCAGGGAACCAACTATGATTACTTGTATAGTAGAGGCCTGAATGATATTGGAGCCCTTCAAACTATCGAGCATGCAATTAAAAATTTCGAAACATTTTTAGTGCTGTTTTTGAATATTTCGCTTTTACCTGGAATTCGATAGATATTATGAAAAAAATATTAAATAAAATGTTTGAGAACGTTCACGCGTACGTGTGCTTGTTTACTTGCGTTAAATGTGGAATTCAACATTTTACTTTCTTTTTTTTGCTTGTTGGCGACATATCATTGTTGTATTCTGATCCATCTCAGACCATAAATTGTGGAAAAATATGGAACGCTTCACGATTTTGCGTGTCATCCTTGCGCAGGGGCCATGCTAATCTTCTCTGTATCGTTCCAATTTTAGTATATGTGCTGCCGAGGCTAGCACGTCAGATTGTAAGTTGCAAAAGACTGACTAAGCGTGGTTGTATTAGAGACAAAACAGCTATAATATTTGAATTGGGTTTAATTTAACATATTGTTTTGAGTTCACATCGATTGAGTCTAATTATATAACAGTATTTTCAGACAGTTGCCTTTCCCGTAAGACGAAGCTCATGGTATAAGGCGATGTTGAAAAGAATAATTTATCAATCGAGGCATACAAAATTATAAAGGCCTGTGACTATCTCTATAAATATTGTTAGTCTTACTTAAAGCGCGGAATTTATATACATATTTAATGCCTTTTCTTTCAAAGCAAAATGCAATGCTTTGTTTCTACAGTATATAGGCTATTGTAATCCGTGATAAATAATTCGAATCCTCATTCAGAGAGAGACCTATGTCACGCGGTCGAATGTCGTCAGACGACAGACAATTATAAAAATCGTTTGCAGCAATTTTACCGAGGGTGAAACGTAAAACTCATGTCTACTACTGTACTGTATGTCTGTCTTTATGACCAAACTTCTGATTCATTACAGTCAAGACCGCTCCTCTGTTGAGGAGAACATTTAACGGTTTTCGGATCAATTTATTTCTAGAACATGTTAGCTATATTTTCTTCTACTTTTAGGTGCACAGCAGGTACTAACTATGATAGAGTGGTCCCTCGAAAAAGCAACTATGATAGACAGGTCCCGCATGCATTTCGCATGTTATAATTTTGAAAACAAGTTTGTGTATAAATTATTCATTTCAAAAATCTTGCTAAATATGTTCAGCCAGAAACTTTTCAGATTGAAAATTGTAATCACTATTGTTTATACATTGAAATTTGCTCGCTTTACTTTATTTTACGGTTCAACAACCATATAATTGGGTTGACTTATTTGACATCAAAACCCACTATTGGCGTTTTTTTTTTTAAATTTTCAACCTTAAAATGTTGAGGGGGAGGTTTTAAGAGGTAACAAAACATGAAATTTGTTTGAAAATAAACTGCCAGATATCTTTCTGAAAGGCGTAATCATAATTATTAAACGATTTGAGAGCTCTAGGTGTCTTATTCTCAAGACCTGGTTATTTTCAAGGGACCACTCTTTCATAGTAGTACCGCACAGCATCCTCTTCAGTCATATTTGTGTGTCTCCTATCGTGCGGACCTCTAAGTCTCTAAGTTGTAGTAGTGTCTGTGACTTGAACATACTTATAAAATTTAAGCTATGGCCATATATGTTCAATATGAGAAGACTTGAGATCAAGCTTTCAACGGAATTAGTTTTTGTTATAGATCGAGGACAAGGTGTCCGAAGGTGCAAAGATAGTTCCTGCATCAGAGTCCGAATTGGATGAAGCGGACCAGGTGGACGCCTTGAAGCCATACATCCAGGGATCCTTTGCCAGATTCAAATGTGAAGATTGCGGTCAGATTGTGAAGACGGTTGGTGCTATTAAGAGACACTACAAAACAGAACATGACAAGAATCTAGATGTCGAGGAGCTGAGCGAACTGCAAATCGATGACTCAGAACAAAATGAGGACCAGCTAGAAAGTGTGAACAAGGAAGACTTTACAAAAACAGCTGATAGTAAAATTTCTGAAGAGATTCTATGCCATGTATGCTCAAAACAGTACACGACGAAAGGTCATTTGCGGAATCACATGGAAAAATGTCATCGAGACTTGTCTCAAGATTATTTGCATGATTTTTTTGAACCAGGAAAAAGAAGAAGTAAGCGGATATTGACAGAAAATTGTATTCTGTGCACCAAAAAATTCAGGACACGAATTGCGCTGCTGAATCACTACCACCATATTCATAAAATTAGGTCCTCATCATGGCATCAAATCGGAAACGCATTGGATGAAATAAATTCACTTCAGGCTGATGTATCTCCGTTAAAAAAGAGGAAGTTTACTACACCTCATGAAAAAGCAGTTGATAACATGAACGTTGATGAATTCTCACAAAATGGAATCCATGACGTTGCGGAAACGAACAGTAATTTACAAAACGAGCCGATACTTCTGGACGACAATTTGGTTGAAGATGAAGTGGAGGTCACGACATCAGTCGAGGAGCCAAAAGAATTTTTGGATCCGAATCAGGATGTGGTATCTCTGCTTCAAACATTGGGATCGCAAACATCGTCTAAATCTTCTGCGATTAGCTTCCAAAATCAATTTGCTAGACGTGCAGCGCCTGGTTATACAACATCTTGTGCATCCGATATCAACGCTCAGTCTTATTCTATCAATGGGTTAGATGACCTCTTGACCTTTGATTCTTCGACTTCTGGTGAAACTAATTTCAGTCGGCCAAGTCATGCCGTGTGTAAAATTTGCTTTGAAGCATTTTCAACTTGGCACTTCTTGCAGACTCATTACGCTCAGGTTCATAAACTGCATGTCATATGCCACGTTATTTGAAGTTCGACTTTCAAATGTTATATTTTGTTCACTGAAATGTTATATTTTGTGTGTTGCAACTGAAAGATGTCCAAGTTTAAATATGTCTGATTTGCGAGAAATAGGTAGTGATAACTGCTTTAATTGGGCTGAAGCGAAAACTTTGCGGAAAAGCAGTAGCGTTATGTGAAAAAATAATCATCAAACTTTTGCAGGTCTGCTTTTTGGTTTTTTGAATTTTTCTGAAAGACGCCAAACGCTCTTGCCAGCTAGCTTTATTTTAATTTGCCAATTTTCAAGCATTTTTTAAAGGTCTCTTTCAATTTGATAGATAAAAAACAAGGTTGATCGATTAAAATGGGTACTTTAAAGGCCATATATGGAAACAGTTTGTTCTGCATCGTTTTGGTCTTGGCCATTGATAGCATTTCTTTGCTATCGTATAAACTGGTTAAGGAAAACCAACTAATTTTTATTTGCCCACAACAAAAGTTATTTAAGAATAAAATGCAACTTTTTTTAGTAGAAATGATTTGAGGAATGATTTGAGTGAACTTTGGAATTATTACCAAGGAAATTCAAACTGAAAATAGCAGGATTACAAAAAACGACAAAAAATATATCAAGGCTGCTGAAAAAATTTTAAAACAAATTTAGTAAATATGTATCAGGCTCGAGATAGTTATATCATTTTTTTTGATGAACTTACAGAAAAATTTCGTGTAGTGGTGCTATATCTCTCTTAAGTGGCAGCATATCTGAACCATTTTAACAAAAATAACCTCTAGTGGAATAATTTTTTCAAAATAAAAAACTGCCAAGTCGGTTTACTTTAATAAATTTCTCAAGTAGATTATTAATTACATGAGAAAACACTAAGGTTTCTTTGCAATTTTTTTAAATGTCGCGAATTTGTATTCATTTTTCGTTCCGACATTTGAAAATAAGAGGAACTTAGATTTCGGGTGTTTTTTTTGTTATCCACGCTAAATCAGGTAACACAAACAACCCCCCACACCGTGTTGAGTGATATATCATAGTGAAGCACTTTCAGTCGTAATTTCAACGACATAGAAATCGAGAAAAATTGGTTCACAGTTTCGTAGGTTTGGTCAAATTTAAAGAAAGGAAAGCGATCGAGTAACGTGCGAATTACACAAGTTTCAGCCATTTTGACTACAAAACTTGGTTTTATTTAAAAGAAAATTAGTTTTGGAAGCTTTATTTAACGCTCCATAAAAAAATAAAATTTTTAAGACAGACAGTTCTTCTCTGTGATGAAACAACAAGAAAGATGAAACTAAATTTCGTTAAGATGAAACAATTACCGCGCAAGATGAAACATTGCATGAAACATAACATGAAACAATTACCACTCGAGATGAAACAAAGATGAAACATTGCATGAAACATATCATGAAACAATTACCACTCGAGATGAAACAAAGATGAAACATAACACGAAACAAAAGATGAAACATAACATGAAACAAAAGATGAAACATAACATGAAACAAAAGATGAAACAGAACATGAAACAAAAGATGAAAGAATAATGAAAAAATTACAGTTTATGAATCGGAATCGCTGTTGAAAACAATTTCTATATCAATAGAGTCTAGCAAGCTTTGAACTTCTCGCACATCTGTAGACAGAAAGCTGCGTGTCGCCTTTTTGTAGTGTTCGCACAATCCGATACAGCTTAACACTATCAGGGTCACTAATGCAATTGCAATGTTTCACTTGCTCTTTCCAAATTGCATCGATTTCAGGACGTAGAAGCGGAGCACCTAATGAGTCTCTTGCGCTTTTGAAAGTTTCCAGTAGCTGTGATATGACCTCTTTCATTTCCTCTGAGTTCCTAGAAGTGCGTCGGCAGTGTCGCGCCTATTCTTGTTTCGTCACATGCTTTTCCGGGTCATAGTTGTCCGCGTTTGTTCCGCCATTCTGTACAAAATCTTCCTTCTTCGCTTTATAGAGGGCATCCAGATCACTCGGGTCCCACTCGTAAATCGAGAATTATAAGCTCACCAAGAAGCACCCACATAGTGCAATCCTCCGCATGAAATGGTAGTAGATGTCCATTCTTACCACCAGATTGGGCAGATTTGAGAACAACTGTTTGATGGAGCTTGGCATGCTGGTTGATGTACAGCATCCTCGGTCAACATACAAGACTTTTGGTTGCTCTACTTTGGCCTTCTGGTATCTCTGAGTCAACCCTTTGGCCATTTAATGAAGACCATCCGTCGATTCTGATTCAGTAAAGACTGAAATTAGTACCTGTCCGTGTTCATTTCCAATGTTAGTAACCCAAGCAGCTGATTGCTTGCATTTTCCGCTTAGCTTTTTTGCGAGTTTTTTGGTTGAATCCATCTTCAGGATTTCTCCCTAGACATCAGTAAGTTTGCTTTTCAAACCTTCTAGACGCACATACATATCCCGGACGTATGTCGCCAGAAGCCATTTAGGACCAGCAACCATTTGAAGAGGAGGCGGTGGTCGGCACTCGGCGACGTCTAAACGAAGTTCCTTTCGATGGGATCGATAGCTTTCATAGTCGCCCAGATACTGTAGGTGTCCTTTTAGGGAGCCGTCGTTATGGTATTCTTCAATTCTCCTCATAACGCTCGCATTTGAGTTGCCAAGTGTTTGACTTCGCATTGCAATGACAATTGATTTGTCACATGCAAACTTAATTTGTTAGTATGCAGGGAAAACGAGCTGCCACATGGTTTGCTAGCTGGGAAACCAAACGATGATCCCATGTCTGGGGAGTTCCTTTGCAATCGGTGCTCTCAAGGTACTCACTCGCTAAATAGTACGCGCTTTTCAGGTCTAGCACAGTCCGCACTCTGTTATATAGCCCTTTTCCTGCTAGTTTCTTGGGGCACCTTGGACACTTGAACTGCACTTGCCACATTTGGTAAGGCGCCCAGAGGAAAAGGCGTCTACCGAAATAATATACCGGCTGGCGGAAACCCCGATGCATTGGCTGAGGTGGATACCACCACAAATTAATCGAGCTGACGAGTTTTTTTTTCTTGAGTGAAAAGCGATTTTCCTATCCATTCTTGATCTATAGGATCAATGGTATCAAGCGAACCTTTTGGCAGACGATCACGCAAGTTTTCGCTCAGTTTAGAGTCACTAAGAACGGGTTTATTACCTGTAGCGGATGTGGAAGCTGTCGGCACATTTTTAGTCGGGGACTGTGATATCCGCAAACGCATCTTCTTGGCTCCATATTGCGAGACGTTGTGATTCCCGAGGACAGAGCGCATTTCTTAGTTTTTTCTACTTCAGCGCCCGCCCACGTCGGGCGCTGAAGTAGAAGGGCCGAGGAGTTTGCCCTCTAGTAAAAGGCGTGCCATTGGCGAATTTTCGTAGATCTGTGATCCACGTTTCTTTCGATTTGGCGTCATTTGGCATTGTTGTTAACTTTGAATTGATTTGAACTTTGAATTTAACCTGCTTTACTACCTTTTCAGATCAATTTTTAGTTTTCTCCTGTTTAGAGAAGGCTTTTTGCTTTCCTTTATGCTAATTTTGGGTCGCAAATCTACATGCATTCAGAACTGGGGGGTGTGAACGTTTTTGGTTTTTGCTTCGGTTGATCAGATCAAATTCAAAGTTCAAATTCGAAGGAAAAATCATATTGTTAAAAACTAAGACTTTAAGAAGGCATTCAACTCTCTTTTGGCTCTGTAATGTACGTAGTGATGTGATTTGATATGTTTTAGATACATTTTTTTGCTTAGTTAATGTAAAATTAGTTCTTTCCTTGCTCTTTTTAACATGTTCAGTAAATTAGGCAGGTTAATAGCTTTCATATGATGTAAAACACGTTTCCATTCAACCAAAATAAGTGTGGATTTAATTAGAAAAGGGAGAGAAATCAAAACAGCAGAGATTAGTAAAAAGTTCTAGAACATTCTGCGATGTCATTATTCTAGCTGCGGAACAATATGAATGAAAACAGCAATCTTTACTTAGTCCTGACTTCTTTTCTTCCCCCTTTCCTTTTTTCTTTTCCCCCTTTCTTCCCCCCTAAAACAGGGAAGTTCTTCCCCCGGCCTAAATTTTTAAGGCAGACAGTTCTTCTCTGTGATGAAACAACAAGAAAGATGAAACTAAATTTCGTTAAGATGAAACAATTACCACGCAAGATGAAACATTGCATGAAACATAACATGAAACAATTACCACTCGAGATGAAACAAAGATGAAACTTTGCATGAAACTTATCATGAAACAATTACCACTCGAGATGAAACAAAGATGAAACATAACACGAAACAAAAGATGAAACACAACATGAAACAAAAGATGAAACATAGCATGAAACAAAAGATGAAACAGAACATGAAACAAAAGACGAAAGAATAATGAAAAAATTACAGTTTATGAATCGGAATCGCTGTTGAAAACATTTTCTATATCAATAGAGTCTAGCAAGCTTTGAACTTCTCGCACACCTGTAGATAGGAAGCTGCGTGTCGCCTTTTTGTAGTGTTCGCACAATCAGATGCAACTTAACACTCTCAGGGTCACTAATGCAATTACAATGTTTCACTTGCTCCTTCCAAATTGTATCAATTTCAGGACGTGGAAGCGGAGCACCTAATGAGTCTCTTGCGCTTTTGAAAGTTTCTAGTAGCTGTGATATGACCTCTTTCATTTCCTCTGAGTTCCTAGTAGTGCGTCGGCAGTGTCGCGCCAATTCTTGTTTCGTCACATGCTTTTTCCGGGTCATAGTTGTCCGCGTTTGTTCCGCCATTCTGTACAAAATCTTCCTTCTTCGCTTTATAGAGGGCATTCAGATCACTCGGGTCCCACTCGTAAATCGAGAATGATAAGCTCGCCAAGAAGCACCCATATAGAGGGTGGCTTTCACTGGTACATCCACCTGCAATCCTCCGCATGAAATGGTAGATGTCCATTCTTAGCACCAGATTGGGCAGATTTGAGAACAACTGTTTGATGGAGCTTGGCATGCTGGTTGATGTACAGCATCCTCGGTCAACATACAAGACTTTTGGTTGCTCTACTTTGGCCTTCTGGTATCTCTGAGTCAACCCTTTGGCCATTTAATGAAGACCATCCGTCGATTCTGGTTCAGTAAAGACTGAAATTAGTACCTGTCCG